AGATCGTAACACAACTCTCCATGGACTCTTGGAGATGATCTGCCCAGATCTTATTTAAATTTTCTTCTAGCTTATATGTATGCAGCCTGTGGTTTGTTAGACATGTTAGACAGATGTTGGTTGGACAACCATTTTCTTTGCCTTTTTTTCTGGAAAAAACCTAAATGTGAATTTATACTTAGATTGCTGTCTGTTGTAGGTATACTTCAGAGGCGTCAATGACAATGTAAAGAGCAAGATCATACTGAATAGCTCTGAAGCATAGTGTGTTGTTGCAGAGAAAAGTAGATAATAACAGATTGCTAGCATATATGGTACTCTAGTGGTTGTGTGATCCTTGTTTAGATTACAAGAGCAGTGGATAAATACTGGAGTTCTAAGAAATGCTTAAAACTGGAAAAATGTATTAGAAAATTTTTTTTTTGTTCCTTCTTGTGGAAAATGATATTTTATATATATATTTAATATATTCTAAAAATCTCTTACACAAGACTTTCTGCTCTGTTATTTTTCTAAAGGAGTGGTTAAAATATTTTTGTTATTCAACCACTTATTAGTTCTTCAAATATATTAATTAGTCAGACTTACTCAGCTCTTTTCTCTTCCATAGACATCACATGCAATTGTCTCAGGTCTGTGATATCAGGCAAAAATTAAGCTGTGTTGTGGTTGTCAATGCAAGATGAACTTAAGAACATGCAACCTTGATGTGTCTCTGTTTTGCAAAGCTGTTATGCCAGTTGTGCTTAACTATTTCTCCAGACCGTGTGGTCTTCAGACCTCTGTATTAGGCTTTGGGAAAAATAACTCTTATTTGTGCCACAATTCCTCCAGTTGTAAAATGATACATTGGAATGTACTGATAAAATACAAGTAAAACATTGCTTTATAGAAGAGGGCAAAGCAATATTGGTATTCAAAAGAAATCTGAGATTTGATTAGACTTGATCAAGGTCACTCAGTGGGCTTGTGATGCTGCCAAGAGCAGAGCTTGGGTCTCCAGACATTCAGTCTGTTGACTCCAGCTGCCTTCCAGGTACAGAGAATGGCTGATGAATAATAATGCAAACAGGACAAATGCCAGCAACTACTCATTTCCAGTTATTTTATTAAACTGAAGAAATCTTTTGTAAAATGCACACATTGTTTTGGGAGACAGGAAATGGATGAAATGGATTTATATATAAAACAGGCTTTTGTCACTCAAATACTGTACAGCAATGAAGAGTGGAAGTAAAACAGCTGTCTGGAAGAAGGAACCACCTGCTTGCTTAATTTATGTTCCATTCTTGCATATATGGTAGTGTCAGACCTTTCATCCAAAATAGCTTCCCTGATGCAGTGCTGTTCACTTTTGCTGACCCGGCACCTGGAGCGGTGGGATGTGTACTCTGGGGACAGCATGCAAACCCCATAGAGAGTGCACAAAGACTTTAGTTGTCCTTTCTCCAACAGCTTCTTAACAATAGTTAAGGAAAGGTAGTAGATAAATAAAACAGGTATATGTGGGTGAGAATGTTAGCCGTTTCCTTTTTGAGACATTCCTAAAACAGTAGTCAGAGGAAAAATAAGATGTGGTGGCAGGTGGAGAGTACCCATTTAATTTTTGCATATCTTATGAAAATGCTAGGACAGATCCAGCAGGACCAGTATGGGAGCAGGAACAGCATTACCTCTTAGTTTAGTAACATGTAACTGCTGAATACTCATTTTGCTGTAAAAACAAAGTGAAAAAGAATATGCAGAAGTTGACTTTTGAAATATGAGTAAACGAAAGCAGAATTCTTTTTGCATGTCCAGCCAGTTTCTGAGAGCACACAGCTAAGAAATCAGAATTGACTCATTGCCTGGGGAGCTGATGAGCCAGTGTGGCCTCACTACAGTCCAGTGCAAAAAGCAGACAATTTTGTAACTTCTCTAGTGTATAACGAAAGTAACACCCAATTCTAAAATAAGACTGCATTAGTAAGAAACTATGCAATCAGGAATAAACACACAGGTTGGCAACTTAGTGCCTCCAAGTCCTCTTCTGTTTCAAGATATCCTCAAGAAATGAAATAGGCTTGTATAAATCAAAATTACATCCATCCCAACGCACATTTCTAAGTTAAATGTTGAAGTTAACTTACTTGGTCAAGTTTCACAGCTTTTCTGTTCAGTGAGTACTGAAAACCTGAATGGGGAAACTTTACTGAGGAAGTACTGGGTAGGGAAATGGGGGCACAGAGGTTAAGTTCCTTGTGCAAAGTTCAGACCAAGTCTGTGGGAGAGCTCCAGGTGAGATCCAGGTTTCATGGGTCATTGCCATCACCATACTAGCTTTCTCTTTCCAAGGATTTTCAATATCATCTCTGAAGAGATTAATAAATCTGAAGGACACAGGCTCTGCATTTGTAGGAGGGGAATACATACATGATTTTCTTCGGGGAGGTTGAATTGTTGGGGGAGATGTTAATTTTGTTGTACTCTAATAGTAATGAAATCACAAACTGATTTTATGAACAGTACACTGGACCCTGTGACACATGCTGCAGGCTCTGCAGCATGAAGTGGCTTGATTGGAAGTCTCAGTGCAGCAGAAATTGAAACCAGCCCTTTGAGTGAGGCAGATGTGTTCTTCCTGGGTGGCTCTGAAGATGTTGTGGCTGACTGCTTGCCACAGATGCCCCACTGAAAAGCCCTCCATTAAAGACATTCAGTATGGCAGAATTATCCAATAGGCACATTGTTCTTTCTTCACACCATTCCTGTATTTATTTAGTTCATTTTCCCCCGTAATACAAGGAGATTGAGCTCTGCCTTCTGGTGGATAGGGACAAAGTGACCTCTTCTAGGACCATTTTGCTGACTAAACTCTGCTAGCACATTGCATGGAGAAGCATTCTCAGAAGAAATTTGGCTTATACCAACAAAACAGTGGGGTTTTGTCACTATTTTAGTGCCTTTTGAATTATGTAAATTCTTCTCTTAGCCAGACAGTGCCTCCTCATATTCCTAATGTGCACTGCCATGCCAACAAAAGTTGGTTAGCTTTGGATCAGTTAATCCTTCAGAGATGGAAAAGTATAGCATTAGCACAAGTAAAGGTTAAGCAAGATCTCTCTGATGGGCTGCTCTCCTGGTACTTGTCCTTGCTAGACAGCAGGTACTTATGGACCCTCTAATCTTGTAGTCAGCTGTAGGGTGAGTGTCTGTGGACATAATTATCTGCTCATGTACAGTCCTGTAGGAACCTGAGGAGAATCCAAGCAGCTGTGCCTGCACACAATGAGGGAAGGGAGCAAAAAGGGTGAAATTATTTTTCCCTATTCTTTTGGTCTTTCACCACAAACTGCTGTGGAGCTAGAGCAGCACGATGGCCATGTTTCCTTTCTGCCAAAACTCCAAGTTGCCTGAGACCCCAGACATGCTTTCTTCTTTTACCACTTTGTTACTGATTCAGACATGATCCTCTAAGAAGGTGTTACCTTTGATCCATTTTAACTTTCCTGCAATATGATATCTTGTGGAAAGATTAGTCCTTAAGTCTCTTAATTAATTATGCTTAATTCTCTTACTTCTGGTATAAGTAGAAAAAATAATAATTGTCAAATAACAAATAATCCACATATTTTGAATTTAATGCCTAGCTGTTAATAGCTACTTAAAATATTAACTTTCCGCCCTAAACACTCCTATTATTCTGTGTTTTTTCCCAGCCATCCTTCTTGTAACAATGCACAGTAATGTCTTTCAGGTTCAGTGCACTTTCAATTAGCTGATTCTTTTATGTGTCTGGGAGGCAAGTTAATACAGTTATTCCTAATCTGCAGACAGTGTCATTGTGGTGCATGTAGTATCTGTACCTGGAGTACAGGCCTGAAAGTACTCAGTGGACTACATTCAGCAGAGAATAATGACCCATGCTAGCATGACATGTTGATTACAGTATTTATGAAAATTAATTTACCAGATTTTTAAAATAAGCGTATGGGAGAGGTCACAGAGTTGAGGGAAATTACAGAAGCAGGTAAACTGACTTTATCAGCTCTTAGGAAGCTTTCACAGGAGCATTAGGGCCAAGACAAGCTTAGTATTTGTCAATGTGGGTTGGATCCCTGAAAGAATTAGCTGTTATATCACAGTTCCACCACGATTATGTTTGCATGGTGTACCAGGCTGTAAAATTAAGGCAGCTCCCTATTTACATAAACCTCTGTAAGGCAACAGGGAATCACATGCTTAACACAGACTGTCTGTTAACCATGTGTCTCACAGCTTGATAATCAGATTTAAATGCTAGTGTTATATTAGCCAGATGTTCTCCTCAACAGCACCCTTCTGTGGTTCCTTTCCATTGTGTAGATAGCGCACGTGGTATGAATTTTCTACCCCAGTCAGAGCTGTACTTAAAGATCACCCCAAATGAGAATGTGTCTTCAGTGCAAGCCATAAAACTGTATCAGTTACAAAAAGGAAATGAAGCATATTCCCTCATCTCTGATGGAATGATCTTTGCTTGTATTTTTTACTCCTACTAAAGGTGTTTGTAAACCTTCTCCCCAGGTCCTTGCACTCACAGCAGTTGATTTCAGTGGGAACAGGACTGATCCCATCCTTCTCAGAAATGGCAGGTGGTGCTGGCCAGGCTTCAGCTGGAAGAGTGAAAAACTACATTCAGTGTCTGAAGATGCATCCTTTAGATTGCATCGACTGAGAAGATACTTCTCTTCTTGAAAGGAAGTTGTTTCCACATGAGCAAGCAATGAATGCCTCTGATTGTGCAGATTCTTAAGTGCTTTATTAATTGTGTTTTCCTATTCTGACTTTTCACATGAAATAGGCCATGTTCAAAATAAGCACATCATAAATTATTTTTTGTTGCAAATGTCTTTCCAAAAGCCTTAATAAGCTTAGGTACTCCTCATATCTGTAGAGTAAATATAGTATTTTCCAACATAAATGTTAATTTCCATTTTGAACATGAAAGATATTTGATTTCATTTTTTTCCATTAATATAAAGTTCTGTTAGCCAAACAGGTAATTTCCAGTTCTTCGTCTTTCAAGAGTTTGTGTTTGGGAAAAGGAGCTAACAACTTTGCTCTTTAATGAAATTGTTTCTTGTGTTCATTGTACATACTCTCGAACTGCCAGTTCTTTCAGGGTGAAAACCCGTATGGGATCTTTTTTTGCCTTCCATTCTTCCAGTTTTTCTTGCAAAGACAGAAAATCCTTGCCAAGTTCATATGCCAAAGTGATCATTGTTTCTAACAATGGAATATAATACCTGTGGCTGGTATGCACATGAAGGCGTGCTAGAGCTTTTTCTCCATATTCAAAGGCACTTGCTGGGTTTTCCAGGTCCTTGTGGCACACCACGATAGCACAGAGAGTAGGGACAACTGAAATGGGGTTGCCTCTCGTCAGCCTTTCCTGCAGACCAATGACTTCTAAAAGGATTTCCAAAGCTTTGGTGTACTGGCCACCCCGCAGGCAACCATATGCTTCCTGAAGCTCTGGCCTTGTTAAAAAGTCAATAAATTTTTTTGATCTTCGGATATATTTCATAGAATACAGAAGTCTCAGGTAGTCCTTGAAGGCTAGTTTTCTCTCATTGATTATTTCTTCTGCAAAGTTCCCTGTTAGAGTTTTTTTGGGAAAGGTCACATCTTCCAGTTCTTCACTAAACTCCTCCAGCAGATTTCTGTGCAGTTTCTCAAAATCTGAATAACGACGTTCAATTACAGACTTGTTGCTGTCAAAACTCCCTGTTTGCAAAATGATGATTTTATACACCTAAATACAATAAAACAGAAAAATAAGTATGAGAAGGATCATTGTAGCCCCAGTGCAGTGAGATTTTGTCACTTATTGCTCTGAAAAGACTTTGTGCATGTATATTCCACCAGATGAAACCTTTCTGCACCAATTTTATGGGCATAATCTTGTATACTCCTGTGGCTTATAGCAGTGCTGCTAAATTAGTTGCTGCTTAGGATTATGGCGCATGCTCAGTGTGGGCCCGATCTTTAAGATCTGCAGACATCAAATTACTAATTCCCACCTCCTGCTGTTTTGTACTTTTGTCACCAGACTTGGCCTTAGCATGTAAATAAGTTGCAGATAAACAATGTGCTAACAGATCCCATCCTGCAAGGTGCTGGGAATGCTGAACTGGCAGCAGACTGAAGTACGTAAAATCACTTTACAAAGTATTTCTGTAGCTGTACTTTGTTTATAACAGCCATGGCTGCTGCAGGCAATCATCTTCAGGGAACTGAATGGATTTCCCAGATTTAATATTGAATGTAATCTATTTTACATTGGTCGTAATACTCAGAAATGTTGTTTGTATCAGACATTCCTAGGGATTTGGGGGTGTTACTAACACTGCGAAAGAAGAGGGAGTATTTGGCAGTAATATTTGGTGTGTGCAAAAATAAGATGGAGCAACTCCAAAGCCTTTTTTCCCCTCTAAATCATTGTTCTGTTATTCAAACTTACTTGGCATACAAATAATGCAAAAAAATGTGACATTTCTACAAAAATCTGTTTGCTATCCAAAATCCTTCGCTAAAAGCTAACAGCAGTGCTGCCCCACAGTAATGGTACTCAAGAGTATGTCTTCCTCAGCTCTTCACTAGCTTCAAAACGACTATAATAAATGTGACATTAGAAAAATAGCTGCAAAATAAAATTGTATGTTATGTGTTGTACAAATAGATTCTCTTCTGCTCCCGATCCAAGCACAACGATGTTGAGGAAGGGCCAAATCCCTAATGTGCGTAAATCAGTGGCGCTCCACTGAGGCCAGCTTAACTGTGTCACAGTACACCAGCTAAGGACATGGACCATTGACCTTGCAGGCTTTTGGACGGTGACCATGTTCACATTCAGCTTCACCCTATTCTGGAGGAACTGGAGCAGTTTTACTCATGCCGGTTGTTTGGTGCTGTTGAAGGGCACAAACCAGTACTAGCACTAGTGTCTGTCTGATTATCTTCCTTGTTTTGCCTTGAAGAGAAATTCTTTCTTCTAATCTTCATAAATGATCTTTACAGGTGCTCCTTGAAAGGTTTCTAAATTTGAGATGACTTCTCTGATCTCTTTGTTTGTAAGCACTGGGACATTTTCCTGTACTTTGTCTTGCTCCCTGCTGAAAAGTGTGTACATGCCTGATGCATATCCAGAACAATTATAAGAGCAATTTTTTAAGCTATCACTTTATCAAGGGCAGCTAAGTGAATAATTTACAACTACTTGGGTTTTTTTATTAGTGGAGTGTGCATGAAAAAGGGAAGAAATGCCATTTAATTAGGCTATAATTCAAATTGGCTCAATGTTGTTGTAATGTAAATCTTTTTGCCTAGACATGTGACTTAGGACTAAGTTTAACTACTTGCATGTACACTGAATGATACTCTTTCCTCATACAGTGATATTAAAATAATTTTTAACTGTTCAACCAGCTGGATACTATTAAGTGTATGCAAGAATGGCAGCATCTAAGTAGGTGTGTATACCATGCAACAGGATCTTAGGAGAGTCTCCAGACAGTTTACCCGGTTGAAACTCTACTGAGCTGCATCACTCAGTACCAGGGACACCAGTATGATTCTTAGCATTTTTTATCTACAGATCTCTGAGGTTGTTGCAAATAAGGAAAACATCCCTATCTGAATTTCAGATACTGGAAGAGACTTGCTCTAGATCAGTCCTCCTGAAAACCAGGAGCAGAATCAGAAACAAAACCCAAGTGTCATGAGTAAAGACAGAAAAATCCAACCTGTTCTGTTGTTCCTGTCCCTCATACTCATGTTTCACCTTAAAAATATGACAAATATGCCATCTAATGGAGCTCTAGCTAGGGAAGGGGAATGATCCCAAGCAATCTAGCTGGAGGATGTCTTAGACTTTGTCAACATCAAAGAATTTTGCACTTGTGCTAATGCAAATGTCTGATGTGGAAATCATACAAATGCAATGCAGTGCTAGGACAGGCTAGCTCAGTGGAAGGGTAACTTAATTGATACTTTTCTATTTGTGCGAATTTCCTTAATGTTGACAAGCCCCTGGTTATTAAGGATACTCAGGCTACCGGATATTGCATTTCCACTGCTGCATATTTTGTGAACTGATTGTCACAGGGGTTTTTAAGGGGCAGATTCCACCAGCTATGCCCATGTGAGAACAGGTTCTACTTGGTATGATCACGACTTGCAAAACCTGGCCCTAGGTAATGCTTTCATGTAATGAGGCATGCTGTGTGCTGTGCAAAACCCTGTAGAGTGAATAAAAATTAATGATCTTCTTACATATTAATTTCTTAGCTTACCACATATTTAGAGAAGTGTTGCTCTACAATTCTGGTTGATGGGATTTCAAAAAGGAGTTTGACTTGTCTGCACTGGCGTTTTTCATTCCTCCAATATTCCTGAAGCTCCTTAGTGGTCATTGAAGAGTTGGAACTTAGGGATGCACTGGAATCTAAAAACAATATATTTAGTTTTTCAGATTGGAATCTTTGCTTTTGGAAAGAAAACTCTTACATATTTATTGTGAAAGGAGAGACTTTCTGTTGCTGTAACAGCAAGACCTAAAGACTGATAAAATAAGTTATTTCGCTGCTAATAAAGATAGGTGCAGTTTCTCTGAGGAAAGCTATTGTGGTCTGAAATTCTGAATGGTGCCAAATTGGCTGCAGAATACAAAGTTACAGAAAAAATACTGATGAGAAGTATTGTGATTCTAGGTTGTAACCTTGGCCACAGTCTGAGCAGGAGGTATGCTACACCATCCCAGAAGCAGCCCTAAGAAATGCCGACTCAGTCTTCTGAATCAGATGTTTCTCCAGGCTTCTTTGTTGCTAAAAGGAGATAATACAATGCAACTGCAAATTCAGATATATATTCAAATACTGACCCTAATTACATATTGGGCTTGTGCAAGAACAGATGAAAGCTGAGAAAACATGAATATCCTAACCTTAAAGGAGAAACTCAGATAACCAGCTCAGCTGAAGGAGGAATTTTCACATCTTTCTCTTCTTTTGTAGCTGAACTGATGCCAGAGTTCAGGTACAAATATTTTTCTACACCTCACTCCCTTCCTCTCTCTCCTCTCGTAGTCAGATACACACACATGCAAACATATATACCTATGCATATATAAAAATGTAGGACAGCTGGTTGAAGAGTTTGCTTACAGGGGAATTTGATATAGTTTTTCAAAAGGGTCATTTCTCTGTCTCTGAAATCTACTGACAACAGTGTTCATCAGGTGGCATACAGGCTAGTAGAGTGGATAAAAGAAATGGAATATTTGTATTTCAGTGGCCACATCAGTCCCAATTTCCTATCAATAATGTCTCTGTCAGTGCAGTCAGCTGAAGCCAGTCTGCAATGTATGTAACATTCTGACAATGGAGGCGAATGACCACAAATAAATGTGAAGACAACAGCTTGATGCAGAAATAGAATTGTAAAGGCACCATAGTATTCTTTCAGTGGCCCCACTTTTACATGTTCTTAATCATTTGGCCATACAGTTTCAATTATCAAGGCCCTTGGGGTTTGGCTCAATCTCTACAAAGCATGTATTTCCTAAGAGAGGTGGTGTTTATGACATCTTTGCAGGCTGAAAATCTTGAGGAAATTATGTATATTTTGGATTATATATAACATTTTATTTAATAACAGATGACAGCAATCTTAGGCATAGTAGAAGTTCAATGCTGTCTCTGCATAAGGCATGTGAGAGACTACCACTTGAGATTAGCTTCAATCCTGTTCTCGGTGTCCTTGCTGATACTGCCAAGAAGTTCAGATTTTGTTATGTACAGAAAGTGCACTCCCGAGACAGGCCGTCTGATGATCACTGTTTTGGTCCCTGGCATGTAAATTAAATCTGGAATGTGTTTTAGGCACAAGGGATTTAAAATGAAAATTGTGTGTGTATATACACACCAGGATGTGCATCTGTTTCACTAATGCTATATTATTGCTACGAGTTTAATCAAGGCTTATCTTCAGTGGAGTATAGCAGTGTGAATCTGGACTACTGCTGCAATAAATAAAGTTTTTTATATAAAAGATTAATGGCATCAATAGCTACATGAAAAATAAAAGGATAGCATCAACCTTGCAGGTCATCTTTCTCTGGGTTTTCTTTTCTTGCTTGACATGAAATTTCAGCTTTGGGTTGATTTTGTTCTTCATCACATGGACTTGTGGTAGAAAATGTAGTAATCCTGCTTACAGCTTCCAACAGTTCCCTTTCTGCTGTGCAGTGAGAGTCCTGGTCCATTGCAAACTAGTGCTGAAAGATTACAAAAAATATGACATTTCTTAATAGCATGCCTTTAGAGAATCCAGTCTGGTAATCTTTTTTATTTACTTCCTCAGTGTTTTCTGTGAACTTGTATGAGGGCAACTGCAGTTTCATAAAAATTAAAGTAATAAATAGAAATATCTATATTGGAGAAACCAATATCTATAGTGGAGAAGCATTTGTATTACCACTGTCACTGAAAATGTTTGGATATCTTTTTTGGCAGATAAAATTAAAACATGAAAACCATAAGAAGTTATGTTGAATAAGATTAGGTGGGAAACCTGATTCTTATCTATGAGAATTTTGTCACAAACTTCTGTGGGGGCAAATTTTTTTCTCCTTGTATTTTGCCCTCAAGCTTGCAAGTATGAGTTCAGTTGAACTAAAATCTTAGAGATAATTAGTATAACTAGCAGCCTGGCTCTCTTCTCCTGCCAGAATTTACTGTTCTCAGGACTCCAAAACTTGCCATCTGTTCTTAATCACATCCTGTAGGGCAAAATAGGGTGATATCTAAAATAATATAAAACTTCTGTCATATTTCAGTTTCAAGTTCTCTCCAGAGACTTGTCTCTCTACTGTGAGAACAAAACAACTGCATCTGACAATGGCTAGGTAGAAGGAGAACTGAATTCTCTCATTATTATACAGACACATTCTGCCTTTACTTGTCCTTTTAACCTATATACTGTGCTTGTAGTAGATCTTTATGCCTGTTCTGCTAGGACTGCTATTTTACTGCATACTGATAAAATGCCTTAACACAATATACTCCTACTCCATGGACCAGATCGGCCACTTTGCCACATAAATGTCTCCCCAGGATTTTTTTTTTTTAAAAACAAAACAAAAAACCCAAAAAACAAACCTACCCATTACATCATTGTGTTATACTAGCAGTTGAAAAAGTTCCAAGAGCATCCTAACAACTTTGGCAGGGCTGTGTTCTGGCAGTCAGCATGAGAGAACTGTTGCTCCCAATTCAGCCAAAGGGCAAAAATCAAATAACATAACATAACCTACTTTAAAAAAAACCCCAAGTCTCCCTTCTACAAATGTAAAAATAATGCTTAAGCATTATTAAGTGGTTATTAAGTAAAGAGAGAGTTTAGGACAGGGATGTAATTTTGTCTCCACTTGTCTACCACACAGCTATGCAATGCTGGATACAGGGGTGAGGAAACTCCTTCAGCAGACCTATTGATTTCTGGCAAACTGCAAGGCCATAAAAAGGAATGCAATTACTTTCCCCACTGGAAATAATGGAAGTGCAAACCATCCTCCTCTAACAGAAACCCTTCCTTTGCCTGGCTTGGATAAGCAAGTACATACAGGTTGTTGTCCTCCTTAATAAAATGTCATGGAAGTCCTTATTTTTGGAGTTTGGACTAGTAGGTGAAAGTTCTCACTGTTCTTCTAGTCATCCTTAATATCTGCTTTTTGAACACAGAGTAGCCACCTACTTACTGTCTAAGTGCTCAGTCTTTTGAAAATCATGACAGTTTATCCCCAGAGTATAAACTTGCAAATATTTGTTTTTAATGTAAAGATAATCTCAAATATACTAGATTAAATGAGGAATCTGAAAATGGCCAAACAGATTTAACTGACAACTTTTTTCTTGGTTGTGAGTTGGCATAACCTTATAAGCAAAATTGTATTTATATTCAAGACATATATCTTTATATATATAACT